GGTGGACAGAGAAGGTGAGTAATACACGCAGATCGCGATCCCTATCAATCATACCGCATAGATCGAATAGAGGGGTGCATCTTCCCCTCTCATTGGTCCATCTCCCCATTCCCTTCTTCTATCCAGATTGCCGAGTTCCCCATACGGCTGGCCCTCGAAATATCACGGGAAGAAAATCTCCATACCGACCCATCCCTCTCCTCTCATTGGCTGAGCCCCCAAAGCCAAAAACATCAGATCGCAAGCAGGTTCCAGACCTCGACTATCAAATCGGTACTCGGTCTCGTCGCCATCACAATATGACGACAGGGCTACCCATCTACCCATCTACCCATCTACTTCTCCTTCTCCTTCTCCTTCTCCTTCTACTCTCACTCGGGCAGACGGATAACCGTTTTTGGCTCAGCATCCAAATGCAATGAATGAATGAATGTCACTCTGTGATTGTAACCCCCCCCGCCCCATGTAACTTTTATCCTCCGTGCAAACAAGGGCGGAGCTTGTTCCATCTACTTTACCACTCTTCCCAGTTTCCACACCCACAATGTTTAATCACATGATTCGTATTCGTGTTTTGTCTTTCCCCACGTGTCTTTCTTTTGGACTTCTTTTTCCTCTTTCCACCTCTCTCTCCCATATTCTTGTCTCAACCAGAGGCACAACAATCTTCCTGCCATCTCCCGGATCGTGGCTGTACCGAACTTACTACTTCATTCCACCCGCATGCTACCTCGATCCGTCCTAGCGGTCTGATTAATGATCAATCAACAAACAAAACCGGACATATTCAAACCCCGCGACGGGGTTCTCAAAAGAAAGTAGGTGCTGCTAGGGAGGTATCAACTCTATTATTGCTCCGAAGAACGTACGATGGAAGGCTTGATATATCACACATGCCAGCATCGAAACTCATTTTTCTCAATTCACGATCTTCATGCCCCTGGGTTGCACGTAACCTGATCTGAGAAATGCAAACTACTTGTGTTCCCCACGTTCGATGTCGCAAACACTTGCACAATATCATTGGATCGGGCTTACTCATCCATCCATTAACATGCACACCCGCACAAACATACATACATACATAGGTAGCATAGCATCTTTAGTTTGTTTGTACGGAATAAACCATTAAATTAAGCTTAATCAATCGCATCGCTCTCATTAACTGACTGTCTCAGCTCGGGTCGTTTCTCTAAAAGACGTCAACGTTGACGTAGCAACTCAAGCCTCATTGTCAATAGTAACTTTGTTAGATCGCGCCTCTTTCCCCTTTTTACTACCCATACCGTCTGTGAACCTTACCGGATCACTGGGTCAATCATTGAAACCATTAACTAGTTAGGTTATTAATGCACTTCTCTTCCAAATACTAAGATTATCCACTCTAGCATTCATTGTGTGTCTCTTCGTCTTGTCTCTCCCTCTCCTTCTCTCCCTCTTCGAAATGAACATGAAGATGATCATATCCAATTATATCCCCTTGTAACGAACAACTGCTATCTGTGTGTTTGGCCAAAATAGATCTGAGTTTTGGTATTCAAATCAATACATCCCTCCAAAGCTAAGTTTAAAAACTTCAGAACACACCCCGACGCCTACTGCCTATCCTTGCATGGGCCACCTCCAATTTCCCCCAACAACTTTCCATACGCTTTGAAAATAGCTCTAGCTATGATTCGGAAGAGGCATTGGTCCATATCAAAGCTTCTCACACCATCAGAAACATCTCGCTTTCCCACCTCCTTATCCGCTCCCCCGCCAAACCAATTATTTACTACCCAGGTACTCAAAGGTCCTGCCCCGTTACAGACAGTCGTTTTCATAATCCTATCATGATTCAAAAGCCGTCTTCGGTGCATCAGTTAACGGAACATATCTCACCCCATATAACTTCTCCCTCGATATCTTCCCCTCTTCATCTTTATCCACGACCCAGATATGTTGACCACCAAATCCTCTACGAGAATCTTCAACTGGTATGAACATTCTACAGTGCGATCAGTTTCATTATACAAAGATTTATAAAGGAGAATAAACATCGACATGTCAAACTTACCGACCAGGACTTCTCAACTGCTCAATCAACGCCTCATGGATTTCTGTCGCCGCAGCTCCAACATGTATGGCATCCCACCCCTCCTCTCCATCCGGATCTTTCCATCCCTCTCTCCCATCCCCAACCACAAATTCTACATTCTTCTCCTTTATCCACTTTCTTCCTTTCTCACTTTTCATCACATTGTTCTCCCCCATATCCCGCAATGCTCTTATATGTTCCAATCCCACCACTTTCCACTTTCCCCCTTCAGCTTCAGCTTCAGCTCCTCCTGCATTTCGACGTGAGGAATGTGAATATGAGGAGGGTAGTACAAGTTCGGCCATAACGGCTGTTAGGTATCCACTTCCACTTCCTACGTCTAAAACTCTTTTTCCTTCTCCTAGATATGGAAGCAAATATTCGAGAGCAGAGGCGTGCATATGGGGAGCGGATATGGTGGCTTGATGTCCAATGGATTGTGGAGAGTCTTCATAGGCCAGGTACTCAGAGGGAGTATAGTGAGCGCGATCTACCTTGAGAGATTGGATTAGTTTTCATCCCCAAGGCCCTTTGAAAAAGTTCAAAGGGGAATCGGATCAGCCGAAGATAGTGTAAGTAGGGGAGTCAAAAATCAACGTACAGAAATCATAGCCTCTCTAATCTTCTCACTGTGGATCAAACCTGCATTCCACATATTATTTATCAACTCCACGTTCGTACGACCCGTACATGTCCACGCCATCTTGTTATTGGTTGTTATTCCTCGTCTCGCTTGCGTACCATGTATGTGCGCAAAGCGCTGAAGATATGGGCGGAGGTGCAAAGGTGACAGTGTGAAGTTTGTTGCAAGTTCTAGAGAAAGCGCTGTATTTGGAGGGGTTTCCTTTACAAATATAATGACCAGGAAGAGGATTACTAGCTGTTGGAAGTTGAGCCAGGATATCTGCATGCGCTGGTATTATTTCTTCTTTTGAAGATTACTAGGAAGTTTCGATCCTATATCTGAGGAGGGCCACCAGCTCGGTTCAAAATGAGATGATGATGATGATGAGGAGGGGTAGCTCGTTTGATTTCTATTCCTTTTCCGAGCGGCTTCGCTTTGTTTACTTATGAGTAAACACAAGATGAAATTAATGTTCAGATGTTCATCTATTCACCGATCCCGAGCGAAGCGATTTAGAGAGCAATATGTGGAGTTTGAGTTGATGTTATTACAATATCGAGTTGAAAGGAACAAGCAAGTGAAGTGAAGCTTGAGCTTTGATAAAAAGTGAAGTGCGGGGTTGGAGATGGCGGGGTGACGTAGCATTGTTAGGGGTGGCGAATGGGGAAAGGTTGATAATAAGATGGAAATGGAATGAAAGAACTTTGGAAGTTCAAAGATTATGCGTGAATGAGAACATAGAGATGAGGCAAGAGCCTGGGTTTAAGATAAGGCTTACTTTCTCCAAAAGAAATCAATTGTGTGTATTGGGATGATAGATCAAGAATTCACTTGCTCTATCTGTCAGACGAAAGCGCGGCGACGATGGTATGGTATATATGACAGTACTATAGAGCTGATCGAAAGGAATGAATTAGATTTATTCTTTCTCAACACCGGCCTCACACTTCTTTCCCAGTCGAAATCTGGTTCTCAATAGGAATCAAATCAAAGTCCAGTCAAGGGAAGACCCTCTCGGGCATGAATAATCACCTCGGAAGAAAGTTTTTTGTCCGCTTTATAGGATCATTTAATTAAAAACTTAGAACTGAGCTGAAATTTCTATCCCCTCTATGTTTCTATCCCCCCTTTATACCTCTATTTATTCCGCAACATACCATCCTCAAACCCAGCATGTCTCAAAAACCATCCAGCTTCCCCCAATTCTGGATATTCTGGGACCTCCCCATCGAAATCCGTCTCAAAATCTGGTCTCATCTCATTGCACCCCCTCGAATTGTCCAACTAGCCACCCGACCAAACCGAGACAACGCCCCCCTCGTCTCCCTCACCAAACCACCCACTCTCTTCGCCATCAACCACGAAACGCGCACTCTCGCCCTCTCAACCTACAATTTCCTTCCCATTCCGCACATGCGCATCCTGTATCCCGGACCGAAGATACAGTCTACATAACCTTGTCGCAGGTCCGCTCAAATCGTGAATTTCAGGATGACAATCACATTACCACTGCTCTATCTCTTGTTTCCTATTTTCCCATCACCTCTTTAGGATTCCCTGCGATATGTTGGGGTAGGATGTGCGAACTGCATGATCTTATTTCTATTCTAGCAGGCATGCCTCACTTGCGAGAGGTAATGAAAGTCATCGAGTATGGAAGGGATTTTAAGGGCGAGTTGGGGCTTCTGGATATACCAGAATGGAGACAGGACTGGAGAAGAATGGCGAACCAGATAGAGGCGGATATCAGAGATCAAAGGGAGAAGTTGAGTATTGTGGGGAACAAGATGGGAGACGTGAAGATGAGGTATGTGTATTTGACAAAAGGGGATGAGATGACTTGAGCGGACTTTCAAAATCTTTTGATCTTCGAATCATTCAATCTTCGATTTACTTCTTGAGAAGAATACATCAGATCCACCAAAGATTTAATAGTACTGAGACACATCGTTCACTTGAACTTCTTTACCGTGCTTTCAAAGACAAGAGATGCAATAAAATGGGTCATGTAAATTAGTTTGCACTCGCATCAGGCGCGAAATACAATCCATGCACAGTGCGTTAAGGAGGGTAAATTTGAACGGGATGTCAAGGCATATTTTTGATCTCCCGTTATTTTTCTCCTTCAATTAGATGCTAGCGAGTCCTAGCAGCATACTCGTGAACAATGCAATGCTCCACTATTTCCTACAATGCATTTTCCAAGACCGTATGTTATATACTCTTGCTCTGAAATCACACAGTAATAAACTCACAACGCCATCCCAATGCATAACCGCCCAGATCTAATTCAATAGATTAAAAGTTGAACAAGCACCATTCCCTCTTGGGCGGCATCATAGGCATAACACCACCTGGAAAAGCTCCTGTTCGCCTGGCCTGTAGATATGCAGCTGTTGTCGGCTCATCAAACGTTACGTTCTCAATTTCCGTAGTTTTGTTTGGCCCTGCATACCCCTTTGCACACCATATCTTGTGCCACTTGCCATTTACGGATGTCCCTGGCTCTCCGTCCTTATACACGACTGGGAGTCCATTAAAAGACTCTAACCTGTCACCCCGAGTCCTTATGTAACTTTCAGCTGGAGGGTGCGCTACTATATTATCATTTGGTGGTGGTCGGAAATTTGGACTGAAAGTGTTCATATTGGAGCCAGGTCTCGCAGGGGGAGCGCCAGCGGTCATATCTAGATTGCTAGTACCTTGTTGGGTACTAAACTGCTGTGTTTGTGTAGTAGGAGCTGTAAATTGGTTCTGCATCGCATTCATAGGTTGAGAACTTGGAGCTCCAAAGGGGTTGTTTGGCGCTGGAGAAGGAGAACCGAATGCTTGGGTACTTCCGGAATTTGAGCCAAATGGATTTGGTGGAGTAGGCTGACTAAAAGAGTTAACGGGCGCTAATGGGTTGTTGTTTTGCGCTATCGGATTGACCTGCGATTGCTGAATCCCAGGAGGAAGAGGATTGGAACCAAAAGCACCTCCCACGGGGTTTACCAGGGGATTTGGATTTGGTTGAGCAAAAGCATTACTTGTACCGCCAAAATTGGAGAAGCCTGCCTGTCCAGAATTCATGGCACCATTCGAGGGTGCACCGAACGGACTTGGTTTCTGTCCCAGGACTGAAGGGTTTCCAAAAGCTCCAGCTTCAGCCCTTTGCTCTAGTTGTGAAGGCTGTCCAAAAGTACTACCAAAGGCACTTGGCTTTTGGCCCAAAGCGGACGGCTGGCCAAAACCACCAGATGCCCCAATTTGCGATGCAACTCCAAAGCCTTGAGAAGGCCCACCAAACGCACCGGGGTTCTGGCTTGAAGGCTGTCCAAAGGCTGTACCATTTTGGTTAGTTGGTTGTCCAAATGCAGGGCCATTTTGAGCAGACGGTTGCCCAAATGCAGAACCATTCTGAGTAGGCGGTTGCCCAAATGCTGATGTAGTCGTTTGATTGACTGCACCAAAAGCATTGTTCATAGGAGGTTGGTCGCTCCTCTGAACCCATGGTGTTTGGTCTGTGGAGGTGCCCTGTTGACAAATATCATTCCGATTTGGATGCTTACTGTCGGAGGCGACAATATAATTTATGGCGCCATCCACATCATTTAGCGCAGTCTGAATTTGCTGATCTGCTTCTTGCCATAGCCTCTCTGCATCTTGTATCTAGAGAATATTAGCCTCCAATAGTTCATAGCCCCAGGATGATTCACGTACAGCTGGTTGAGCATTGCCAGAAGCTACCGCAATGTAATGGAGAAGGCGCATTTCCTCAAAACTTTGTTCCCGCGCTGGTCCACCGAACAACTGCTCTGGCGCCTGGCGCCCAGGTCCGTATGCCGAAAGAATCCATTGAGGTCTGTCGGTCGTGAGGTCTTGCTTTATAGTCGCTTTATCGAGACCGAAAGGTATATGCGCCTCATTTCCTTTACAACGCCGTAAGCCACCGTATATACTTATGTATGCTCATGATACTCACCTCCTCGTTGTGTATTGAAATTTCTTGAGTTGGATTGGTTGGAAGGTTGATTTTGAAGAGGCGCATATCGATTGTGGAAGCCGTTCCTATTGGAATTGGCATTTTGATCGGAGTGTTCGAATCTGCAATCAGCTTTCAATAGTCAGCACATTTTCGTCCTTAATTCGAGAAATAGCCATACCTCCGTTTCTGCAATTTCCCTGCTGCCAAAATCTACACACGGCCATTGTATAATCTGCCTGGGGAATCAAGATGGTAGTTTGGGAATTCTTGGATGGATGGCCAGAGCCTAAACGGCTACACTTATAAGGTATTCATTCGAGATTCGCGGGGGTTGAGAAAATTCATATTCATAAATGTGTGTATACGGCTTTGTTTGATTGATGCGAATGAATTTTTGAAGATGTTGGTCGGAACGCGGTCATGGTAGTTAAACGCGTCGGTACGGTTAATTTGAAAATTGATTGTCACAAGTGGAATGAGTAAAAATCTACATCAAAACAAAATAATTACATATTCAACAAATCAGAGCCTATCGCAACTCCCCAATTAACTCCATAACGCTATGTTGGTATCTTTGAAATGTAGATGTACATGCTTCGCCCTTCTCTTTCATACGTCAATTCTTGGCCCCAGTCCTTCCTTCACAGCTGCAGACAGGCGTTCCCAATCCAATCCACCAATTGATCGACTACCAATGCCTTTGAGTGATAAAGTTTCCGAAAATTTCCCTGTGCCAATTCGTCGCATCATTATCGTATCCCGAGCCTTTCTTATTGCTCTTCCTTCTCCGCGAAGTAAGTAGTCCTCGAACCAAGCTTCTTCTTCTGGTGACAATGGTAGATTTACCAGTTCGACACTGCGATCTGCGATCGTTTCTGGAGGAGAGTTTTTTAAAACAGCCGCGATCATTTGTTCAAACATGTGTCGTTGCATGTATTGCGACTGTCCTCGCGAGAAGTAGAAGGCTTCCGTGACACTTGTTCTTGCGATGGCAGAAAACAAACTTTCTGTTGCTCGAGATGAAGTCAAAGCTGGCTGTACGGTATGATAGTATGCTAATGGAATTGCGAGATCGTCTGAGGAATGTAACACGAGGGCTTCCAGGATCTCATCCGCAAAGCTTGGTATCAAAGATGGATGGGTCAGATATTGAAGAGCCAACTAGCAATGATCAGTTCATGTTAAGTATCTACGGATCTTAGAGACAGAGAATCACGAACCTCAAAATCAAGATTATCCAGATGCCAAAGACCTTTCATGTAGATCTGGTAGCTTTGAGGTAAGAACGACTTTTGTTCAAATGTAGTGGAGTAGTCTCTTCGCCCGGTTGGAGCGTCAAAGTCGAGCAGTATATAATACAGAGCTGATAGTTTATGATGATCTTGGCCCGCCGAGTCAACGATGACTTTGTGCAGATTTCGAAGGTCACTATTCGATTTCGGTGGATAATATTTAACAGCTTGCGCACAAGTTAGTAAGAGATATGTTACCACAACGATTTGTAGGAGCTCACGTCGACGAATTTCAAAATTCTTCAGTAAAGTGTCTACGAATAAACCTTCAAGCTTCTTACGATTGCTCTCGATTTTTCGCACGGCGATTTCATCATACGAGCAGCCTGGATCAAAGTCGAAGACTTCGTCAAAATTCTGAAAGGTAAACATTTCGTATCGCCGTATTGTCTCTGTACCGTTGTTTAAGGAGTATTTTGGAATCGTTGCGACGATATGAGTATTGATAAGAACCTTATCTTAGCGTTATTTGACTGTTTTGAAGTAAACAATGACCCTCCGCAATGTGTAAAAACAACAAACTTCAACAACACAACACATTTACTAACACCCAATTTATTGATTGAATATAGGACGCGTTGTTAATAGGTACCTTAGTCTCTGTGATCTTTTGATACTCATTGTGCATTACTGATTTTATATAGCTCCTTTATCCACAGCAATAACCAATTTTTCCCCGCGAGTGAAAAAAAACAACACATTTGCTGGACCTCATCATGTCAGAATCCCCAGTGCGGTCCTCAAGAAGGGTTGCTTCTCGCCGGAAAGTGGTAGTAGAATCATCAGATGAAGATGAAGGTATGGAAGTAAAGGTTGAAGAGGAAGATGACGAGGAAGAGTTCACCCCCGCACCGAAGCGTAGTACCCGGACAGCCCCCCAGTCAAGGAGGAAGACAGCGAATTCAATGGCAGCTACACCTCGCGCAGGCAGTCGAGCGAAGAAGAGTTTAGGAGCAGAGAACGCTGAACCTTCGGAAATGTTCGATCCTGACCAGACAGCAACCCCAGCGCCTGAGTCACCTACAAAAAAGGCAGCCCCACGGAAAAGGAAGAGTGTACTGCCTACCAGAAGTGCACGCAGCTCAGTGGCACCTGAGTCAAATCCTACCCTACCAACACCAAATACCTCGCAGTCTCCTGAGCCATCCGAAATACACAATAGCACAATTCTTGCAGATATCACGGAAAGGCCTGGGACGTCGGACAGTCAAGCTTCGGCTGTCAAACCTATTCGAGCAATGGATACAATCATGGAAAAGCCCATGGATATTGTGCTGAAATCAAGAACTGCGGCAGCAGCTCCAGTGGTTGAGGATACTGGTCCAAAATCTCGAATAGTTATCACTTACCTGATTCTTACGAACTTCAAGAGTTATGCTGGTCGCCAGGAGGTTGGCCCTTTTCACTCTTCTTTTTCCTCTGTTGTTGGCCCTAACGGCTCCGGAAAATCTAATGTTATTGATTCTCTTCTTTTTGTGTTCGGCTTCAGAGCTAGCAAAATGCGACAGGGCAAGATTTCCGCATTGATTCACAATTCAGCAGCTTTTCCGGACTTGGATCATTGTGAGGTTGCTGTACATTTCCAAGAAGTGATGGACCAGCCAGATGGCACCCACCAAATTGTTCCCAATTCTGATTTGGTCATATCTCGAAGGGCGTTCAAAAATAATGCAAGTAAATATTATATCAACGGAAAAGAGTCAAATTTCACCATTGTCACGACACTCCTTCGTGATAGAGGCGTCGATTTAGATCATAAGAGATTTTTGATCCTCCAAGGTGAAGTCGAGTCAATTGCACAAATGAAGCCAAAAGCTGCAAATGAGCATGATGATGGTCTTCTGGAGTATCTGGAGGATATCATTGGCACATCCAAGTATAAGACCCCCATCGAAGAATCTGCTACCGAAGTAGAGACTCTAAATGAAGTGTGTGTTGAGAAGAGTGGGCGGGTTCAGCATGTTGAAAAAGAAAAAAATGCACTTGAAGATAAGAAAGATAAGGCTCTTGCTTATATCAAGGACGAAAATGAGTTGTCCATGAAGCAATCAGCATTGTACCAAGTTTATATCAATGAGTGCGGTGATAATCTAGCCGTTACGGAAGAGGCTATTGGTCAAATGCAGACACAGCTAGACGCGGAAATGGAAAAACATCAGGGCAACGAAGCAGGCATCAAGCAGCTTGAAAAGGAGTACAAAAAAGGCCAAAAGGAGTATGAGTCGGTCGAAAAGTACACCCAAGCAATTCTCAAGGAGATGGCAAACCTCGATCAAGAGCGAGTAAAGCTTGAAGAGAAGAAAAAATTCTTGACCACGAAACAGAAGAAACTGGAAAAGACAATTAACACATCTGACTCTGCCATTTCTGAAGCTCAGGCCACAATTGAGAAGTGCGCAGAAGAAATACAGGAAGCTGCTGCCGAGATAGCTGCAACCGAACAGAGAATGGCAGAAGAGGAGTCGGAGCTCGCTAATATTAGGGATAGTCTCAAAGGTAAAACCCAAGCATTTTCTGATCAAATCGCGGCCAAGCAGAAGTCATTGGAACCCTGGAATGAAAAGATCAATCAAAAACAGTCTGCTATTGCTGTAGCGGAGAGTGAGCTTGCAATTTTAGACGAGAAGGCGAACGCCGGCGATGTAGCACTCCGGGAAATTCAATCAAAAGTGCAGGCCATAGAAGAAAGCAGGGAAGCTAAACTCGAAGAACTCGAGCAATGCAGAGGGCAAAGAGCGAAGCTGGAAAAGGATGGTGCTCGATTACAAGCCGAACTTACGCAATTGTCTCAGAAGGAGCCGGAATTTCGCGCTAAACTATCTGGGGCTCGCCAAAAAGCCGATGAAGCTCGTGCTAGTCTTTCAAACACTCAAACCCAAGGAAATGTACTGACTGGTCTGATGAGACTTAAGGAATCTGGGCGAATTGATGGTTTCCACGGCCGACTGGGAAATCTGGGCACAATTGACCAACAATTCGACATTGCAATTTCTACTGCCTGTGGAGCCCTTGATAACTTTGTAACGGATACAGTCGAGGCTGGTCAGCAGTGTATCGAATATCTTCGAAAGACTAATCTCGGACGAGGTAACTTTATGTGTTTGGATAAATTAGGAAATCGTGATCTCTCACCCATCCAAACACCAGAAAATGTTCCTCGTCTCTTTGATCTTATCAAGCCAAAAGATGACAAGTTTAGACCGGCGTTCTTCCACTCACTACAAAATACACTTGTAGCTAAAGATTTAGCACAAGCTAATCGCATCGCTTATGGAGCTAAAAGATGGCGTGTCGTGACCTTGGATGGTCAACTGATTGATAAATCGGGTACTATGTCTGGTGGTGGAAACACGGTCAAGAAGGGGTTGATGTCTTCGAAGCTGGTGGCCGATGTGTCAAAAGAGCAAGTTTCAAAATTGGAAGTAAACAGAGATGAGCTTGAGAAAACTTTCCAGAAGTTTCAAGATCGCCAAAGAGACTTAGAGACGAGACTTAAAGATATAAATCATCAAATACCGCAACTCGATACGAAAATGCAAAAGCTCGGTCTGGAGGTAGACAGTTCTGATCGAAACCTAGTAGACGCACAAAGACGAATCAAAGAGTTGAGCAAGGAGCATCAGCCATCTCAGACAGATGATAGTCGAGTATCTGCACTGAAGAAGGACATCGCAAAGCTTCAAGAAGAAATCGAGAAGCTTCATGCGGAGACAGCAAGCGTTGAGGATGAGATCAAAGCTCTCCAGGACAGAATTATGCAAGTTGGTGGTGAGAAGCTTCGTGCTCAGCGTGCTATGGTGGATTCTTTGAAAGAAGAGATTGATACCCTCAGCCAGGCCATGTCAACAGCGGAAGTGACCAAAACCAAGGCCGAAAAACAAATCCTTAAGCACGAGAAAGATCATGCTAAGGCTACTAAGGAGATACAGGCTTCTATTGCGGATCTAGAAGCACTAGAGCAGGAGATACAGAATCAAGGATCAAGCTCTGAAGGATCGCAAGCCCGAGTTGATGAAGCCCAAGAGACTCTGAGAGAGAAGAAAAAAGAGCTTAGTGCTCTCAAAGCTGATCTTGATGAGAAAACTACCGAACTCAATGAGACCCGTGCAGTTGAGATTGAAATGCGCAACAAGCTTGAAGAAAACCATAAAGTATTGACTGAAAATCAAAAGCGACTAAGATATTGGCAAGAGAAATTGGGTAAGCTTACTCTGCAGAGTGTTAGTGACCTAGGAGAAGAAGTCGAGCAAGAGGAACTTCCTACTTTTACCCGAGACGAACTCGCCGATATGAGCAAGGAGGCATTGAAGGGAGAGATTGCAATTCTGGAAGAGAAAACTCAGAATGTCAATGTCGAGCTTGGTGTTCTTGCAGAATATCGTCGAAGAGTTGAAGAACATGCTGCAAGGAACCAAGATTTACAAAGTGCTGTAACTCAAAGAGACACAGCCAAGAAACGCTGCGATGATTTGCGACGCCTTCGTCTCGAAGGCTTCATGGAAGGTTTTAGTACGATCTCCCTTCGACTTAAAGAGATGTACCAGATGATTACCATGGGAGGAAATGCTGAACTGGAACTAGTGGACTCGCTAGATCCATTTTCGGAAGGAATTCTATTTAGTGTGATGCCACCAAAGAAATCTTGGAAAAATATCTCAAATTTGAGTGGTGGTGAAAAGACATTGAGTAGTTTGGCACTAGTGTTTGCTTTGCATCACTACAAACCCACACCTTTATATGTAATGGACGAGATTGACGCTGCTCTTGATTTTAGAAATGTAAGTACAATCCTACTGTCTTATCGAGTGTACATTGCTGACATACCTAGGTTTCCATCGTAGCATCTTACATCAAGGAACGAACAAAGAACGCACAATTCATCGTTATCTCGCTGCGTAACAACATGTTTGAGCTTGCGAGTAGGTTGGTCGGAGTATATAAAGTCAATCATATGACGAAGAGCGTGACGATAGAAAATAAGGATTACATCACGGGTCGAGCATGATGAGATGCAATATCGTCGTGTGTTATTGTTTTTGTGCGGGCGTTGGATAACCATATGGGATGTATCGGATGTATTATGACTATTAATGAGAACATGAAAATTATCTTCTTCTAAATAATAAGCCTATAATGCAATGTGCTGGCCATCATCTGCCTACCTACCTATGCTGTAGCTACCAAATCCCGAAATATCTTGTACCAACAATTTCGGATAAGATGGCGTGTGTAGGGGCAGGCCCAAAAGTCTGACCGCACCGAATTAATGCTAACATCAGTGCCCCGCGGCTTTTCCCCGTACAATTATACTTTTTGCTAAGACCAATCTGGGCATGATTAGCATATCAGGTTGACAACAGTTATATCTTCAG